AAATAATAGTATCAACGTTCTTAATACCGTTAACAACCAAAAGTGTTTGGGAGGCAATACGCCTCGACTCTCTTCTCAGACTTATCCTTTTCAAGATTTTTTAACTAAACCAACTTATAAGAGAACTAAACTCAACAACCAACCAAAACCAAGCCTTCCTTATTTTTGAAGGACGAAAGAGTAATACACACCATTTTGTCGTCGAACTGAATTCAAATCCAAGGGATTCGGATGATTTTGAGCAAATCAAAATTATTTTAGTATGAATTTTGATTTCAGCGCGTAACCACCCTCCCTACCTTAGAACCAGGGTTACCTGAAAACATCAAACCCCCTACGATCCCCGATCTGGGTCGCACGACCCAAAATGTGGGTCGTTTGCGACCTGGATAGGCAAAATCAGCGCCCCCAATTTTTTGCCATAACAAGGAATTACCCACCCCAAATCAATATGCCAAACTCAATCCTACCACAAATTTGTTCCAAAATTTCAAATAAAAAAATAAAAAACAAAGAACTCAACATATAATGTTTGAAGATGGCAGATGAAATACCTACCTGGAAGTGCTATGGATCGCGCGTTTGCCTGATCGATCGATCTCCTTCTCTCCGTCGACTTCGTAACTCGCAGATGCCTCGATCGATCGATCTGTATCTCCTCTCTCTCTCTCTCTCTCTCTCTCTCTCTCTCTCTCTCTCTCTCTCCTGTCTAGAAGAACTAGAGTCTGATTGACGAAAAAAAAAGAACCGACTTATATCGGATGACCGAGACTCTGAGTCTCAAAAAAAAGTCTCTGACAATGTGTCGTGTACAACTACAACACCCAAATTTTTTTTTGATAAAATGACAGAAAAAGCCCTTTATTTTACATGTCTTGTATCACACATTTTGGATAAAAAAAGTAAAAGTACTATTGCCTACCAATTAGGCAGCTGTACATTTTTTTATACCCAACGAGCTGGCAGCCATATATATAGATATTTTCCAGAATTTTACCCTAATATCTACCGCCTCTCTTTGTCTCTCTCTTTTTCTCTTTCTGTTTACTCATTATTCATTCTACTATATTGAATTTTTTTTGCTTAAAAAAATAGTTTTTGGTAAAAGGAAAGAAGAACAAGACTCTTCTCAAGTTGAAGAACAATTTGGAATTAATATTCAGAATTTAGATTATTCTGCTAATGAACAAGAAGTTGAACATATTGAAGTAACGGAAGAAAATAACACTAGGCAACCACAAAAAAATCGCACACAGGAAGATCAATTACAAGTTGATACAAAATAGAAACCACTACTCAATGAAGTCAATCTTATTGGTGCAGCTCAGGGAAAAAATCCGGGGAATCAAAGAGTTGGTCATGTAAGCATTGTGGTGGTAAATTTACAAGTTTCTATACTCGAATGCATTACCATTTTTTTGGTGCCCCACCCGAGAAAAAAGCATAAATTAAACGGTGTCAAGCTTTGATGAATAATTTGACTGAATATGCAAAATTACGAGAAATAGTACAAAAGGCAATAAAAATAGGAGTTTCTTCATCCCTAAAAAATTCTACATTGATGAAGCGGCAACCTTCACCGACGACGGGATCAATTGAAGACGCATTCAAAATAATGGATCGAGACATGGTTGACTTGAAAGTCATGAGGGGATTATGTGCTAATGGAATTTCATTTAATGTGTTGAGAAATTCGCAATTCAATGAGATGATTTCAGCTATAAATAGAGGACCTAAAGGTTACAAGGCTCCCAGCTATGAAAAAACAAGAACTACATTATTGGATGAGTGCAAAACAAGTGTTGAAAAAGATTTGATTCCTGTTAAAGATACATGGTATTCTAATGGGGTATCCATTGTATCAAGTGGGTGGACTAATGTGAAGCATCAACCACTTATTAATATCATTGTTGCAAATAGTCGTGGAGCTATGTTTTTATATGCCAAGGATTTTTCAGGGATAGAGAAAACAGGTAAAGCAATTGCTGATTTTTTGTTGAAAGCCATTGAAGAAGTAGGTTCACTAAATGTCATTCAAGTAGTGACCGATAACGCAGCAAATTGCAAATTTGCGGGGAAAGAGGTGCAAAAGGTACACAAACATATATTTTGGTCTCCTGTGTTGTTCATACTCTGAATCTAATTTTTAAAGACTTTGCAAAGGAATTTGAATGGTTTAGAAATACTTATAGAAGGGAAAAGTCTATTGTTAAATATTTCTTGAACCATACACATGTTTTGGCTATGTTTAGAGCTCAGTCTAAATTGGAGTTATTAAAAGTGGCTAAAACCAGGTTTGCATCGCATTATATTTTGTTGAAGCGACTTGTTGACTGTAGAGAGTCCCTTGCAACTACCATTGTTTTCAAGTCATGGAAAGAATTGGTGAAATCTGGGGATGAACACACAAGGAAGTTAGGTGCTTTGGTTATAGAAACTGTTATTAGTGAAGAATTTTGGGAGGATGTGGAGAATATTATAAGTATCACAAAGCCTATATTTTTTCTTATTAAATTTTGTGATGGGGAAGGTCCAAAAATGGGTGATATTTATAAGAAGATGGACAACATGCTTGGTGAAATAAAAGATATTATAAGGGGTGAAAAACACGTTGATAAATTTTTCCAAATTGAAAAAATTATGCTCGACAGATGGGAGAAGATGAATATTCCTTTGTATTGTCTTGGGTTTGCACTAACACCACGATTTTATGATACCTAATATCTTACTAAGCTAGCACCAGGAGGTACAGTTAGGAAAACTCCAAATCAAGATAAAGAGGTCATCATAGGTGTTATGGAAGTTTTTGAAAAAATAAAGGAACACTGCAAGAGGAGGACTGTATCAGACTCAAATTAGTAACTTTGCAAGAGGAGAGAACACTGCGAAAGATAAAGAAAAAAGAGTTGACAATTAACCCATGAGCAATTGCTGATTTTTCTTATTATTAAGTAATTTTTATTTGAGACTTGTTAGATGTTTAAGAGTGTTATTTTGATTTATACTTCAAGTAGGAAACTATTTAATCGTTCTCTAGTACGTTATTTTTTAAATTTTAAGTTTTTAAATTTATATGTTGTCTTTTATTGATAATAAAATATGCAATCATTACTTTTTTATACATGATTATTAGTTGATGTATTGTTATTGGTCTTGATTTGTATATTATAATGTATATATTTATATAATTCTTTGTAATAATAAAAATGATCCGAATAATAGTTCAAAGTGAACCGCGACCCAAAAAAGCGTACCAGCTAAGCCTACCCCCCCCCGCACCACGTACCACAAAAAGTAACGTACCTCGCACCTGTAACCGTACCGCGTACCCAATCGACCCGCGATCCAGGTAACCCTGCTTAGAACCACCTACACTTCCACCGCTAGCCACCCACCCCCTCCCTCCAACTAACCGTTGTTGTAATCAAAAAAAAGTTTTGTTTTGATTTATGAATGGCACTAGTGGCTTGTGGGAATGGAGGTGGTGGTGTAGCAATATGCTGGTTTCTGTGGTTTGGAGTGAGCAAAAGTTACGACATCCACTCCCTCCCACACTTGCAACCCCAATCTCTAAAATATACCAGTCAATTCAAGGGGAGGGTTTCTGCTGGGGTGTGGGGAAGGGGCTACTAGTGGGTGGGAAAGGGGACGGGTGGTGAAGAAGGCGAGAATGGGTGATGAGGGAGACGATCGGTCTCTCTAAGCCTCAGTTTATATATATATATAATTTATTAGAATAGTTAATACGTAAATTCGTATAATGGTTAGGTATAAATTGGTAAAATAGAAATTTTTGTTACCTCCATCAAAAGACAAACACTGGCTAGGGGTGTCAGTGAAATATCAGAAAAGGTCAGGGGTGTCGTTGAAGTCAGTGTTATGAAAAGCAAGCCTAGGTGAACGCCTAGACGAGAAGCAAAGTGAGCCTTGGTCGCCTTGAACATCTCAGGCGAAACAAGGTTAAGTAAAGCGAGAAAAAAGCGAACATAGGCGATGAAGCAAAGAAGCAAGCTAGGCGAGAAAAGCGAATACCTAACTGCAATTTTTTTATTTTCTCCTCCTCCTCCCCCCCTTGTTCTTCTTCCTTAACATTAACCAAATCCTAGCAGAAATAATGTTATATGTATGTATATATAAAATAAATTAATTGATTCATCTAACTGTATCATATGACAATTTGTCTTATTATGATTAAATGATGTTAAATGCTTTGTTTTGATGTGAAAACTCTTGTTAATCAATTTGCTTGGTTTATCAAATTGATTAATCAATTTGTTATATACTTTATTTGATTAATCAATTTGTAAGTGTCTTGTTTAGTGGTGATATTAATCAATCACGGTAGAAGTCGAATCCACGTTTGCCAGCTTTACATTTAGATAACATGATTATGTCAATTGATTATTTTTAGAATGCAATAATATTTAATATTTAATATCTTGTCTATTTAAAATATGTTGATGTTTATTATTTTGGTTGCATTTAAATATTGTGCATTTAAAATATCAAAATAAAATATTTGTTTATTTTTTATATTGTTCGCTTTGCTTTGATAAAACGCTCACTTCGCTTCTCGCTTCTCGCTTCTCGCCTAGACTCTCAAGAGAACAGTTCACTTCGATTCGCTTTACGCCTTAAATAACATTGGTTGAAGTTACGCTTATCTACTGGACACGTGGATGAAATTTAGCCTTTGATCAATGTATTCTTCCACTAATCTCATTGCAACATCAGACACTCAAAAACCACAACTGGAATATCAACCAGCATACAAATGCATTGTTTAGATACCAATTGTCAAACAATCTTTGTGCTTCAAAGCAAATTCTGCGTTAAAAATTGCCGAAGTATTTACAAAACCATACCTAACCATGACTCAAAACTATGCCATGCTTACAAAAATTGGACACTCATAGTTAATGATTGAAAAGAATTACGTCTGTACATCACTACCACTGTCAATATATAAAAAGTCAGCATTATTGAGTGCCAGTAAACATTCAAATTGATGGATCAGAAAAGCATACAGGCATTTCATCAATCATATAAAACCCAACTAACTTGTCCATCAAAAAGAAAACCAATTTTTTTTTCAAGTCCTCACAATGTCAATATGTAAATAGTCAGCACTATTGAGTGCCAGTAAACATTCAAATTGATGGATCAGAAAAGCATATAGGCATTTCATCAATCATATAAAACCCAACTAACTTATCAATCAAAAAGGAAAACCAATTTTTTTTTCAGTCCTCCCTATATCAATGTATATAATGAACAGTATCTCGAAGATACAACACACACCTGAGATGGAGAATCCCCACAATCAGGAACATTAAAGGATTTAAATCTAGTTCAGTATATAATCATGATATATACAACAAAGTAATCACCAGAAGCATTACAAAGTAAACCACTAATGTTCCTTTTAACGTTCCCACTGAATTTCTCTTCAACTCATATCACAAGAATACAGCTCAACAAATTGTCAAAAAATTTTCAGACTCAAATTCATATGCAGGCCTGTTATATTGATCCAAATTTGACGTCTTTACAACACCATGTCAGTAGTGGTATGCTAAATTTGAATTTTGTAGACTTAAATTCATTACGACATGCTCACAAGTAGTGGAGATATGCAGAAATCTTATTATTGATTAACAAGTGCCAAGGAGTTGTGGTACCTAATATGACAATGTGCAATAACCGAACAGCTTACCTTTAGTCCCACTGATCTGGCATGGCTAACAGCACCAATGAGATCACCATCAGTTGTAAGCAAAACTTTATCACCTTCATCATCTTCATACTGCAAAAAGCATGGAAAAGAGATCAAGAATTTTGACATAAATGACAGAATATGCGCCAGAGTCTAATACTTTTCAAACTCACCAAAAGCTGAGAGAGGCTTTGGTCATTCACTGAACCTACTCTTTGCATAACAGCAGACACAAGCTCACCTAAGTTCTCTGTGCCTGCATAAAATTAAACACAAAATGAACATTGTATTTTTGTTTTCTTTTAGAAAAATTATATTTTAGTGGGGAAAGTTGAAAAAATTCATTTGACCGAACTGCCCTCATCAAATTCACAAATCACTCCAATGCCCTTAATCCTTTAATTAATCAGATTCAACTGATTATAATTAGACCATTATTATCATTATGATTTATGAGTACCACACAAAAAGAGGTTGCCCCACTCTCCACCTCTCAAGTCTCAATTCATTTTGTAGTCCTGGACCTTCATCTTCACCATCCAATTCCAATCTGCGATAAATAATATATGTAGAAAATATTGAACAAAATGAAGATAATGAATCCTCACTTTGTTCTCGATTTCATTTCATCCATCTTCGCTTTGATTCAACTTCAACACCAATAATTTATTTCTTTTTATAGGCAATTTTTTCCCCAATTTTCCTTGTAAATACATAATTGTCTGCACACATGCATATGAGTGGATAATAGCTGCTTTCTTGCACTTACTTGTGGCAGAACCTAAATTTATCAATGCAGCTAAACCACTGTGGCTTCTTAATGTTCTTCAAGGAGAAGAAGCGGACAACCGTCTGGTTTGCTTATCATATAAGCCAAAAGTCATGTGAAGGTAGGTTTATGGACGATCCCATTGGACACGAGTTTCAGTAGGATTTACCTCAAAACTGTTAGAGCATCCACACCAATTGGAAATAGATAGAGAGACCCCTCAACCATATAAGCCAACATTGAGTGACATTAATCTTTTAATGTGGGCTACAAGCTCTCCTCACGCTTTTTACTTCAATTGGAACCCAGGCTCGTGTGTGGTCTAACAAACCTAACCAAAAAAAACATAGCAAACATATTGGGAAAATTCAAATGGTAGGAGACCTTGTCCACTAATATCCCCCCCCCCCCAAAAAAAAAAAAAAAATCAAAAAAAGGCCAATTCTAATAGCATGATAGAACATCCAACCCAAAACCGACTGGGTTAGAGAGGCTCACAAGGCTTATATGCTAGTTCTGGAAGTGTTCTTTTTTTTGTTTTATGTCGGACAAGCTCCAACACTTCCAAGCAAGTGCAATCCTCGTCACACGTGACAAGATAAACAAAATAATCAGACTACACATTAAACATTAAAATGTACCTATGATACAAACAAACTGAGAATCAATTATCCTCCCATCGAAGTAATTGAGTTTTGTCTGTAAAGAGAGCTTGTATGATTTACATAGTGAAAGAGTCTCTCGACCCATTGCCAATTGGTTTTAGGATAGATGCTCTATCATAGTATCAAAGTTAAGCCTTGTATGATTAGTGGATCAAATCTCCACCCTAATTGAATTTTTCGATACAAAGTGTTTGTTCATTGTTGTGTGCCTCACCATGTGAGCCCAGGTGCAGGAAAGTATGAAGAAAGCTTGCATCCCACGTCGAATTATTAGGACCAATCAAGGTTGGTTTACATAGTGAAATGGTCTCTCCACTCAATGCCGAACATTGTCCAAACCCTCCCAAGCCCAATTTTGATACCATGTCAAGACATCCAACCAAAAACAAATAGACAATGAGTGGAGAGGACCCTCAACCACATAAACCAATTTTGAGTGACCTTAATCTCAATGTGGATACAAGTTCCCTTCACACAAGAAGCCTATTAGGGTTACATCGTCTATCAAAAATATGTAAAAGCAGAGGGTGGGAGGCTTATTTGGGGTAATTAGACAACATGCAGATAGTTTTGAATGAAATGAATAGATGTCCATTCTGTTGTAGATAATGAATAAAAAGAAAAAAATCCCCTATAAAGAAACTAGGGATGAGAACTATTATATAGAGGATAATCAAGAAAGTAAAATAATCTTTGAGTAGAGATGAGCAAACACTTTATCCAGGTTAAAAGGCTTTAGAGGATGTTCACCCTAGAGAAATTGCAATGATCACAAGGACATTAAGACTCTAGACTATGCTCACTCTGACAATTGAATTCACCCCTCGCCGAGGTAACAATGCAGGCCACGGAATTGCTTCTTCAGCTCTTAAAAGAGCTTTTCCTGGGTTTCCTGTACTGCACGGTAGTTGAAGGAAATTTTAGTTTCTGGTTGTATTACTTCTTGGATGCTGTTCTCCTGCCAGCCAGCAAGCTGGTTTACCAAGATCATATAAGTAAAAAACAACGTTGCAGGATTGGGGGCTTTTAATAATATCACGGTTCTTCAATTCAGTAACGAAGCCAGAAAACTAACAATAAATAGTAGTTTTGATAAATAATTATTACGTGTACTTCTCAAAAGACTGTTTAATTTCCCTGCTAATGTAAATTTGACACGGGATTCAGTAGATCATCAGCCGTATTGACATAGTGAGCAGGTTAACTAGCCACTTGGCAGGTTTGCTATTTAACTAATTGGCGCATATGCACAATGGGAATGGTTCTTATGTGAAATTGCTTAGATGAAGAAGAATTCATTGGTCATATGATGTTATGATAACTTGTATGAGAAGTAAATGAGGCATGAATCAGAAATCAAAATTCATATGTGATTTTATAAGTATTGGACATCAGATTTCAATGGTCCTGATGCCAAGATGGGGCATTAATCCAACAAATGCCAATATTTGCCCATGCATATAGTTTGAGAAATGAGCAAAGTTTGTTTAAACAGACATGTGGCATTCTTTTTTTTCTTCATGTTGTAACTGTTTTTAAGTCCAAAGCAGGAAGGCACCCTTGAAGTTATACCACTTTTTTGGCTGTAAATCTTACAAATCGAAGTCATGATACATCACTGTATAAGGGTTAAAAGATAAATTTCCCAGTAGGGCACTTCTGCCAGGCCATGTAGATGATATCAGTACACACGATCAATGCAATCAGTACTGTTTCAGAAAAAGGTGTAATCTCAAGTATTGGGGGATGCAGAATTATGTCACGCCTGTAACACCAGCAGCAATAATGGTTGCCATTACTATCATCATACAACTACACCGACACGGCATGAAAACCACCAATGCCATAAAAAGACAGCCCATAAGACTAATGTCATCTGCCACGGATGCTGTTGCATACATTAATGAACCCCACTATCACCCTCAGGCACCAATATGCAACTATAAATATCAAGAGGCGCCAACAAACAACCGTAAGTATTTCTACAACATCCACCATCTCCATTATAAATACCACCACAACAGGCTTTGCTCCAATTCTTTTTGCCCCTCTAATAACTAGAGTCCCATCAGACACCTGCCACATCCATTCAGTTACAACAATCACCCCACCCGCCACCCTCAGAAAAAAGAAAACACAATTGTCGCACCACCATCACTCCAATGCATCAATGAAAAATACCACTGTTGTCTTTATTGTCCTCACTCTCACATGTGAAGTTCTTCCTTTTTAGACCTCCTCCCCCCCCCAAAAAAAAAGCCAAAAAAAAATACCTACCCCACAGTCATGCGCGCACAGAAAACAAGGAAAATATTAACAAAGATAATGGAGAAAACACTTTTATCCAACAATTACCAAACATGCTTTTTATCATTCCACAACGTAACAAAATGAGGTTAAATTGATTTTTGTGCTTTCAATAAGACTTCAAGAACTCGAATCCAAGAGTGATGTTCACTAGTAACAAAAAGTGAATAAAATAATTGGGTCCAAGTTTCTCTCCAATAAAATACTCACCAAAATTAAATCGGTGTACACGTCCCCTGTGATCTTCAAATTTGAAGGCAAATGAGCTCCCAAGACCAAGAGATGGATAAGCAGATTTCCCCAGTTCAGTCCCATCTGATGTCATTAATGCAGACATAGACATCTCACTGTACATAAGAGTACCCCAGGTTAGTTGCTGAACTAACCAGGTGAACATTCTAACAGATTTGAGAAACAAAAATTGATACCTCTGGGTGTCATAATCATCTGGTGGCTCCAAATTAAGCGCTGAATCCCAAAATTTTTGCATCACCGTGTTTGCCACGTCATTAACAGCACCAGAGCTGCTTTCCACCTTGAAAAAAGTATACGATATATTTATTCCCCCTCCACTATCGTTGAAGACACTATAACAGGTCTAACAACTAGAATATGTAGGTTACTTCTCTGCACTAATAATCCACATGTTACGCACTTTCGACATGCCACATAAGCCCACATGTCAGCATCAATTCATACAAATGCACAATGTCTGCTTGAACATAGTTCTACTCGTAGAGGCTCAAGCTGAAGAACAAATGAAATTAGGTCCCCCGCACACAACCATGAGGGTGATTGCTGTGGGAAAGTTTGATGTGTTCAAAATGCATAGTGATATTATAATTCATATGCAGTTGACCACAAACACACATATACCTTGAGGACTCAAGTGTGTGTTGATTGTTGATAATGCAAATTTGTATGGGCGCCCATAGTTTTGTCTTATCTTTCATTTTCTTTCTTATCTTCAGGACTCCTTGTCCTCACATGTCATTATTATCTTCGAATGAATAAAACTTTACTGTTTCCTATTAAAAAAAACATATATCTTTCTTACATTAGGTAATATGTTCTATTTGTCAGGTAGACAAAGGTATCATGAATAGGAGCATAGAAACACGAGATAATATCACAGTAGAATTCAATAAAAACTGAAAGGGATTCTTTTGCGGAGGGTCTGTCTTCATTTGTTCGTCTCTTTTTTGTGTGTGTGTGTTGTTTTTTCTTTTGTTGTCTTGGGGTTTTTTTTTTTTTTTTGGGAAGGGGGGTTGGGGGGGGGATTGTTGATCTCGGTCAAGGTTTGTCTGAAAGGGGGTTTTCTAGTCACGTTCTTGGGGTTAAGATGGGGAAGACTTCCAAGCCAGGGGAGAGTCAGGACGGTGTGTCAGGTCTAGGGAAGGGTTGGGTGTATGGGGTTCCTGATGAAATGGCATAATCTCCGAGGATTTGGGTTTCTCCTGATCAACTTGGTTCTATAGATACCTTGAAGTATCCAAATTGAGCCTATTTAGGTGTCCAGCCAGTTGGCTTTGGTGACCAAAATTTCCGTACTAATACTTTTTCGATAAGACACAACCACAGTTAACCTTACTCCTGGGAGTTCGCATGTCATTTCTTCAAGGGCCATATGTTATGGTGGAGAGAGGAATGGGTGAGTTCAGGAACAAGTGATGGTAGTAGTGAGCATTATTGATGAAGAAAAATAGATAGTTTTAAAAACATCCCCGGAAAAGTTGCACTAGTTATTAGTTCCTGCAACAAAGAAAATTAAGAATAAAGGAAAAGTGGGAAGTGGGAAGTGGGAAGTGGGAAGTGGGAAGTGGGGAGTGGGAGAAAGAGGAGGAGAATTAGGGAATTAAATAGTTCATAGTCAGGGATCAGGAGTTAAAGAATTTATAGTCAGTGATTAATTATGAAGGGGGGAGTTAAGACAGATCGGGGGGGAGCTTTAGTTAGTTTTGAAGACTGTTAATTGGAATGTTAAGAGGGTTGGGGTCTTGAAGAAAACTAGTCTTAATGAAGGATTTGTTGAATAGAATGGGGCCTGAGTTTGTTATATTGAAGGAGACTAAGAACGAAGTCATTGGCAGGAGAATAGTCAGAAATGTGTGGGGGTCTGGGTTTAAAAACTGAGTTTTTCTACCTTCTATGGAGAAGGCAGGGTGTAGTCATTATTTGGGATGAGAGGTCCATAGTTGTAGACAATATCTATAAAAATTAGACATCGGAATTGTTATGAGTGGTGGATGATAGGAGTGTATCGGCCTAATAAACCTAGAATAAGACTAAGGTTGGGGAAAGAATTGGCTTGTTTCGGGTGTATAGTCTATCGTGGAATATTGTCGAGGAGATTTTAACGTCATTAGATACCCGGTGAAGAAGCTAAATGGGGGAAAAATAACAAAAACATGAGGGATTTGGATACGTTCATAAGAGAGACTAAACTTAGAGATTCTCCTTTGGCCAATGGCGAGTTCACATGGTCCAATTTTAGGAGTGAGTTGGTTTGTAAAAAGTTGGATCGATTTTTATAATCGCTTGAGTGGGAGGATTGTTTGTTGAGGTTAGACAGGAGGCTTTGTCTAGCGTAGTATCAGATCATTGTCCTATAGTTCTAAGGGGTTCAAATTTTAAGTGGGTCCTTGTCCATTTAGATTTGAGAACATATGGATGAAAAATAGTGGTTTTTGGAGGAAGATTAAGGACTAGTGGTCATAATGAGGTTCAAGGGTTGGAAGGATATAAGTTTATGAAAAAACTTGAATTTGTTAAACAAAAGTTAAAAATGTGAAATAAAAAGGAGTTTAGGGATGTTCGCAAAACCAAAAAGAGGTTTGGATAGTATTGATGACATTGACAAAAACGAAGAAGAAGATGGTTTCGATGATGAATTGAGAAAGGAAAGGATAGGTGATGGGAATCGTGTAAGAATTGAACAGATATTATAGATTAATTATGATAGTTATTTAGATACTTTTAATATTTAGCTTTTAAGTAATTTCTTTTAACTTTTAAAGGTTTAGTTATCATTATGACTATTTATTTCTTTTAGAGTTCTTTTAGGATTTGTGAATTCCTTATATATATATAGAGGATACATATTTGTTGAGGGACTAAACTTTGATTATTGATATTGAATCTTCTTTCTAAAATTCTCTCTATTCTCATCTCTTTCTTCTTTTTTTCTCATCCCTTTCTCCTTCCCTTCTCATCCCTAATTCTTCCCTAATACGATCTATATCAATTTGGTATCAAAGCCCAACTTCGATTCGTATCCAAAAAAAAAAATTATTGTTCACTGTTCACGCGTGCACTGTTCATCCCAAAAATATTGTTCACACGTGCACTGTTCATCCGAAATCACTGTTCACGTGTGGCACTGTTCATCACCATAAGAAAAAAAAAAATCATAAAAAAAACAGAACTATCTAGTAGATTCAAAAAATTGCAGCAACATCCCAGCTGTTCTAGAAATTACAAAAACACCCCAGAAAATTTTAAAAGTCACAGAACTACCACAAGAAGTTTCAGAATTATAGAAACATCAATCTAGAAGTTATAGAAATGGCATAATCTTTCCCCCAGAAGTTTCAAAAATTGCAAAATCATCCCCAAAAATTTCAGAATTTCTTCTTGACTATGGTATGCATACTCCCATGAAATTTGAGACTAACATTTTTATTCATTGAAAAATTATAGAATTTGCAAAGGATCCAAAACATATTTTCTTCATTTAAGTTTTCTCACTTCTCGTAATTATTAATTGTATTCTTGAACTCATTCTTATGTTATTCTCATCTTTCAAAGTCAATCATGAGTTCATATGATCATTATGATGCCTATTCATATACTTATCCAACATCAAGAATGTCTAAAGTTCATAGTTCTCCACAACGTCATCACTATACCCATTCCACTCCTAGAGCTTCTCGAAGTCATCATAAAGTCTATAATAAGTTTGAGTTTTATTATGAAGATTATCTAGAATACTACTCTAGGACACTTAGATCACATAACAGGTACCAACGTCATGCTTCCCAAAGTCGTCATCAAGGTCAATCTGAATCAATCTTCAATGTTATTAGTGACCATTCAAAAGCCCAAACTACCCTAGGAAAAAAAGTTGAGATCTTTGAAATTGAAGTTGTCAATACTAAACATTCACTCAGCCAATTACGTGAAGAATGTAGAGAGATGAAAAACCAATTATCTGAATTAACAAATCAACTTTCCCACTTGAATAAAATTCTTGCAAGTTAGCAAATGGAAGAAAATAAAAACAAGTCTCCAGTTTCACCTAATGTCGAACACCCGCATAATGATAGCCATATTTTTGTTCCAATGGACTCTCATGCTTTACATCCTTCAAAACATACTTTCAATCGTTTGAGTATTGATACTAATGATGAGATTATTTTTGATCATATCATGTTTCCTACCTCATCGGTGCCAAACGTTGAATTATCACTAAGCATTGAACTTGAGGAAAAATCCATTTACTTAGTTCCTATGCAAGATGTTGAGCATATTGAGCTATCTATTTTACAATCTGTTGGCAATTATTCTATGTCTACTATTCTGAATCATGATGGCATTGTTGTGGATTCTTCTTCATTTGAGATTGCTGATTTTGTTTCGGATTCTTCTCCACCAGAGATTGTTGACATTATTCTAGATTCTGCCCCACTTGAGATTGTTAAATTTGATTCTTTGTCTACTGTCAAGTGTTCAATTGAATTTGTGCTTACTTATTTTCAACATCAGAGTGTTATAATTACTCCTTTGTCATTGATATCTTGTCCGGTTAAATGTCAGTTGTTCAAATCTAATAGAAATTATTTTACTATTCTTAAGTTTGGATCTAATGCTTATTTGCTTAATTTTTCATTGAATGTTAGTATTAATCCAGATTTTTATTGGGGAGGACATGCTGCTTAATCGAGGTACTCCAGAGCCTCCTATTTTATTCGCAGGTGTTCATACAGATGGAGATTCTTGCATTTATCCTGGTCAATGGAAAAAAGTCAATAGTTCTACTTTGAAGACTCTCTGGAGAAGAGTTTTTTTCAACCGGAGGAGAATGATGGGGATCGTGTAAGAATTGAATAGATATTATAAATTAATTATGATAGTTATTTAGATACTTTTAATATTTAGCATTTAAGTAATGTCTTTTAACTTTTAAGGGTTTAGTTGTCATTTTGATTATTTATTTATTTTAGGGTTTGTGATCTCTATATATATATAGGATTTGTGAATTCCTTATATATATAGGGGATACATATTTGTTGAGGGACTAGACTTTGATTATTAATTATTGACATTGAATCTTCTTTCTAAAATTCTCTCTATTCTCATCTCCTTCTTCTTCTTTTCTCATCATTTTCTTCTTCCCTTCTCATCCCTAATTCTTCCCTAATACGATCTACGTCAATAGGATCTTAGGAATAAACTTGAAGAGACGATAGAAATCAAGAGTCAAATGGGTGATAGAAGGTTATAGCAATTCAAAAAAATTTCAGTGGCAAATGGAAAAAAATAAAAGTAATATTATTGATAAGTTGGAAAAGAAAAATGGCACGATGATGAGGATATAATTGAGAGGGAGATTGTTGATTTCTTGCTACTCTTTACTCTGCCCATGACAGATATAGACCTATTTTGATGAGGCTTTAGTGGGGTCCTATTCATGGAGAGATGGCAACACGGATGGAGATGCCGTTTGATATAGAGGAAGTCTAGATAGCCGTTTTGAGTGTTGTAAAGAAAAAACCCCGGCACAAATAGTTTTAATATAGCTATTTTAAGTTGTGTTAGGAGCATTGATGAGGGTTTTTGAAGAGTTTTTTAATAATGAAGTGGTCAATGAGGTTACAAATGCTATATTCATTTGTCTTGTACCAAAAAGAAGTTAATTTATTGAAACTGAAGGATTATAGATCTATTAGCATAGTTACAAGCCTATAAAAGATTATAGCAAAGGTTCTATCAATTAGGCTTAAAGAATGTTTGAGTGGTACTATTCCTAGGTTTTAAGGGGGGCTTTTGTGAAAGAGAGGCAAATCATGGATGCAAATCTTGTATCTAATGAGGCAGTAGAAGATTTAGAATAAGTGTAAAGGAGGGCATAGTGTTGAAGAATGACTTTGAAAAAGCATATCACAATGTACAGTGGTCTTTTCTGGATTTTGTACCGGGCAGGAAACGCTTCGGGGATAGATGGAAGAAATGGATTAAGCATGGATTAAAATTTTTGTTTGGTGTATTGTTTTGGTCACCTCAAAAATAAAATAGAAACGGATAAAAAATTTAGGAATTTATTACAAAAACATTTTGAAATGTTAGTCGAAATATACTTAAATATCTCAAAACATTCCAAAACATCTCAAAACATTCCGACACACCTCAAAACACCTCGAAGCATTGGATTTCGATAAAAATGGAAGCATTTCGACCGTTTCGAAACGAAATTTTGATCCTTAAGATTAAGGGATGTTTGGGGTCAATGAACTTCTCATTTATTTTATATGGTAAACTCAAGGGCAGTTTAATCTAATGCAACTAAGGGGCTTCGGCAGAGGAATCACTTATCTCTTCTTTTCTTACCTTTAGTGGTGGATGGTTTGACTAGGTCAATGTGGGCGGAGAGATTTAATTTGATTTAGGATTTTGTGATTGATTGGAAGAGAATCTTGGTGTCTCATTTACAGTTTGTAGATGACACAATTTTCTTCTCTTGAAAAAATGAGAAGTTCAACAATTTAGAAAAGACTGTTGATATGTTTAGTTTGGTTTCTATCCTAAAGGTTAATATTGAAAAATTTTGATTGTGGGGATAAATTACATTCATGAGAAAATTGAGAGCTAGCCTAGAGATTTAGGGTTTCTCACGAGTGGTTGGTCGTTGAAGTGTTTAGGCCTCCTTTTAGGTGGTAATCCGATGTCCATAACTTTTGTGATCCTATCATTCAAGAAAATAGGGTAGAGATTAGATGGTTGGATGAAAACTCTTATTTCTAAGGCAAATGCTCATTAGTTAAGTTTGTATTAGCTAGTATTCCTATTACATCTCTTCTCTAGTTAAGATGCCTTGCTTGGTGGCAACAAGGAAAGAATTAATGATGAGAAATGTTTTATAGGAAGCAGGAAAAGAAAGAAGGATCATTTGATCCGTTGGGAGGTTTTGTCTAGGTCTAAAGCAAAGGACGGTCTTTTGGTGGGGAATTTGTTGAAACAAAATGGGGTTTTAGTTAGAAAATGGCTTTGAAAATTTTCATTGGACCAAGATTCACTCTGGCCTACGATTATTAAGAACAAATATGGGTTACAACTTACAATATAATGGGTAGAATGTTAAAGGGGTTGAAAGGGGAACTTTTCAGAGTCTGTGAAAATTTATTTCTCAAGTGTCACCTAGCTTTTCTCAGACGGTGAAGTTAATTGTGGGAGATGAGGCGAAGGTTTATTTTGTGAGGATATTGGAGGGGAGAGTATTTTTTCTAGGCTATTTCCTTGTCTTTATCATATTGCTTCTTATCATAGAAAGTGTAGTCCATCGTTAGTAACATCTTACTCTTTTCTAGTCTCTTAGAGCTTTGGATCCTACAGGAATATTCATGATACAGAACATAAGGAGGAGTTGCTACGTCTCTCTATGCTCAACAATGTTTCTTTGTCCCAAAGTTCTTTGGATAACAAATTTTGGATTAGTGATCCTTCAAGTGCATTCTCTTGCACTTTGAGTCCTTAATTGAGGATTCTTTTCTTCCATTATTCTATCCATCATTCAAGAATTGAAAAACCAAAGTATCTTTAAAAGTGCAAGTGTGTGCATGGTAAATATAAGATCAACATCAATGATGTGCTTCAAAAAAAAAAACCAAACACTTGTATTTTACCTCAATGGTGCGTTATGTGTAGAAGGGATTATGAGAGTGTGGATCATTTATTCTTGCATTGTCTTATAGCATTTATCACTATGGAACAAATTGTTTGATCTATATCTTCTATACTTTGTTCTGATTTTCAAGGTTTTAAAGGAAATGAAAGGGGGAGACCCTTTGGCTTTGTGCCTTTTTTGCTACTATTTGGGTAATATGAATGGAGAGGACTGCCAGAATCTTTGAAGATAAACACAAAGCATTCGAATGCTTATGGTATTTGTTTTATTTCTTGGCTTCTTTTTGGGCATCCGTGACTAAGCATTTTGAAAATGTCTCCACCTTTAGCCTTACAAGGAGTTGGCTTGCATCATGCGGATTGTAATTTGGTTTTAATATTCCAGCTTTTGTTATGGTTATGACTTTGTTGCTAACCATCATTTGGTAGGACAACTTGCCTACTTATGATTTGTTTTTGAACCACTTTTTCTCCTTTTATTATTAACAAAATTGATGTTTCTTACAAAAAAAAATTAATACCGAAAAGTCATTAAGAATACAATAATAAAATCCCTTTAATGAACACATGTAGTATTCAACAGCAACATAGACAAATATTTGGTTCTGTCTGACAGTATAACTCACGTATCTATCACTAAAATCAAAAAACTTGATCAAAAAGTAGTAGGCAAATGATATTTGACTAATCTATCAATGGAATCAGGACTTCATCGCCTTAGAATTTCCTCTCAAGACAACAGCTTATTTTCTTCACGCCAAGGAGACAATTTTTGTTCAATTATTAAAGCTCTATCATCAAAAGATCACACTGAGCTCACAGAATGACAAATACTGCATGTGGAATTCCAGGACAAAAGAATAGCTAATCTTGGCTTCTTCGACACTATATCATAAAATACTGTCCCCCTATTCAAGTTCAACAGCTTTCATCTTTCAAGATAAGCAGAAAACCGGCAAAACCAACATTTCTATGCAAAAAGTACATCACTGGTATACAAACTGCATCATCTTAAATAAAATTATTTACCATGGAAATTGCAGCATGAGTTATCTGCAGAACATCTACACAAGCAGCAATATACCCATCTGCCAAAAATAACAAGAAAATTGCTGACGGATCAATAGCTAATGCTCCCTTTTCTGATTTAAAAAGTAAGGCTTACCTTTGTCTACAACAGGAAGATGTAAGAATTTTCCGTCATGCATTATATGCAGGGCTTCAAGGATTGACGTCTCTAATGTTGCACATTCAGGGTTCGGCGTCATTACCTTGAGAAAGAAAAGAAGCAGAAGATATCATGTTAAGTTAGTGACACTGTCCAAGAGATATGTACTCAATTATACTATAGAAATCAGATGATGTCCTGAAAGCACGCTATGAGAACCATTGTGTTTCTCTTTTACATTGTAAAAGCATCCATCGCAACCAATATGCAATGGAGAGGCTCATACAGGTCATATGCAAGTTTAGGAGGCACTGTTATACTGATGTGGGCGACTTGACCGTGGAGAGAGAGACAAAAGAATCCATAAAAATACTCGGAGACATAATTTGTGCTTGTGAGCAACACCAAAAAAAAAATGAAATTATAACAAAGAGTATCCAAAAACCTCCCTAAGCTCAGTTCTGATACCCATGTTAAAGAGTGGAGCGGCTCGCAATACTCATAAATTAGTCTAAGCGACACTGCCATACAAAGCTCTAGCATAGATAATTGGGACTTGACATCAAATGTCCAGTTTAACTAAACCTAAGTACCTGTAAACTCAATTACATAGGAAATTGACAGCATAACAAACTCAAACTTATAGTTATAGGCATATAGCATGACTCCATTAATATCTTCTAGGTGCGACTCCTAGAGGGCCTCAGGAAGATTCTAAGGTCTTCTTCTCATTTTATTTAGTTCTGGCACCTCATCCCACAGCCAGAAGTTTTAATTAGTCTTTCAATCATCCAACTAATATTCAAAAATTCTAACCCTGATCTTAATACTCTAACCCTAACAGCCAAATTGATACACTATTCAAACCTAAGCCCCAAGGTTACATTTTCCACCCAATAATCAAAACCCTTGCCCACAACAATTTTTTATAGGACAACCTAGAGGCCCTTGCAAAAATTTTTGTCCTATTTCTACACCATGCACCATCCTGTGCATGAAAGCCCCACTACTTCTCACAAAAAGGTCAATTCCTCACTCCACTTACCTTTCTCAATTAAGTGAAAAAGCATTAATCAACCACATCCATTAATCATATAGGGCATAATGCCAAGGATATGACATGCCTGTGCTTGTATCACGAAAAGCCCAGCGCTTGTGCTTCTTTCGAGGAATCCTATTTCTAAAGGATATAACCATGAAAGTGCTACTACATACCCGGAAAAAAAAACTTGATAAATGATACAAGTTGTTAGCCATCTTTGTTTTTGCGCAATGCCACATGTGAATGTGGGATTATTTTTATTTTTATTTTTTTATAAGAAACATAACTATCATTCATTAAATAAAAGTTTTACATAGTGGGTGGACAAGAAGTCCAACCATAATGTTACAAAAGAAGGGAGTTACATCAAAATAACAACACAACACAGTAATCTCGTATCACCGCAAGAACTCCCCAAGCTACAAGCAACTATCGAATCAATAGTAAGAAAGTAAAAAGGTAAGTCCTTAAACTCATTTGTCATCGAAGCGCACAAGGACGCCAAGTAATAGTAATATATTTTATCCCAAAGAAACTCCATCCTTATCTTCCTTCAAAATTCTGTTATTTCTCTCCAACCAGACCATAAAACTGCCCCAATAAAATGGATGCTCTACAATCTTTCCCAAATACCCCATAGTTGGTCTCTAAAAGAGAGGAATATCCTCTCGATAGCACCCGTTCAATCCAAATTCCCCGTAAACCACAATTTCACTAGTTTTCCTACACAAAATGCACCAATGTGGAGAAAGACAAGAATTTGGTCTCTTTTTTTGCAACTCATCACAAGTATCAATCTTTCCAAGAGCTGTTGTCCAAGCAAAAACCTACACTTTAGAAGGCACATTCGCCTTCCGAATCATCTTATGGGGTTCAAAAGTTGGGATTAAATGATCATCAACCAGAGTATGAAAGTATGATTTGAAAGAAAAAACACCAAAAGAATTAATACTCCACATCCTTCTATCCTCCACCCCTACCGATAAAGACAAAGGTTCAATTAAAGACAATAAAGATGCAAGTTCCAATACTTGCCCTTTCATTTAATGCCCTAAAGAAATTAAATTCCACCACCCATGAGATAGAGAGACACAATACGGGCTTGACATGAAATCATCTTGAGACCTAGACAATCTAAAAGGCCAAGAATAAGACAAAGAAAGAGAAAGATCCCAAACCCATACACCTTTCTAAAACCAAACTCTCTCAACACTCCCCACCCCCACTGTTACATACCTCAAAAATTCTAGTAAACCCTGTAAATAAATTTCCAAAGATATCTAGATGAACCCTTCACAACCACATTTGAATTGCACCCATTAGGCTAAAGACCATATTTGCTTTTGATAACCCCATGCCACAACATACGCTATTCAATTGAAAACCTTCATAACCACTTTACTAATAATACATTATTTTTCTTAACCAGATTTCCAATCTCCAACCCCACATTTTCCTTAGTTCTAGTCACTACATGCCACCAAACCAAATGGTCCTTTCTCCTTTCCCCACTTCCTTCCCACAATAACTCTCTCAACAACTTCTCAATTCCAAAAGCAATCATCCTAAGAATCTTAAAAAGTGACAAGTAATAAATGGGTATACTATAGCCATGACCGACTAAACTAGTGTAAGCTTCCCTCCCTGGGATAAACATGTCTTTTTCCACCCATCTAATCTTTTTTGAACTCTTTCAATAACAAGATTCCAAAAACTCACAGATAAAGAATTCTCACCTAAAGGCAACCCCTAATATTTCAAAGGTCATTGCTCAACCTCACATCTTAATCCTCCTACAACCCTATCTAGCATCTCTGTCTGAATATTAATCCCAATAATTTCTTGGACATACTGATTTTCAAACCCAACATGAAGCTAAAAACCTTAATAACCTCTACTAGATTCGAAAATTTTTCATCATCTCCTGAAAAGGAGAATATGGTTTCATTTGCAAACTGCAAGTGTGAAACCTCTACCAAATCTCAGTTCACCCTAAATCCTTCAATGACATTATACTCCTTAGCTCTCTCAACTAAACGACTAAGTTCCACAACTAAGTGAATGAGAATGGTGACAAAAGATCTCACCACCTAAGCCCTTAGAAGCATTAAATCTCCCTCGCCGTTTTCCATTAAACACCACTGAAAAATTCATCAACTCTAAGAACCATTTAATCCACATTCTCCATTTACATCCAAACATTTTACCCTCTAAAAAAATCCAAAAAGTCCCAATTAACATGATTGTAGGCCTTTTCAAAATCAATCTTAAAAACCAACCCTTCTTTTCTCTTAAATCTATACTTTTCAACCACCTCATTAGCCACCAAAACAATGTCAGTAATTTGCCATCCTCTAACAAAAGCCCCTTGATATTTAGAAATTGTATCCCCCATCACTTCTTTTAACCTTCCCCCTAAAACTTTTGGCAAAATCTTGTATAATCTTAGTCATCAAGCAAATAGACCTACAATCCTTAATTTTCAAAGAACTATGTTTTTTGAAATCAGACAAATATATGTAGCATTAGTATTCACATTCACTATTCCATTATTAAAAAACTCCCTCATCACTTTTGTCAAATCATCAAAAATAATTTCCCAACAATCTTGGAACACCACCATTGAAAAACCGTCCGCTCCCGGTGAATTTGTCTCTACTACAATCAAAAAAGCTCCTCTTTCACCTCCTCTTCAAAAGGTCTCTCCAGCCATAATGCTTTCCGCTCACTAATAGGACACCAATCTGGCCCCAATACTCTCGGCCTCACACACTTATCTTCAAAGTATCAACTTATTTCACTTGTTACCTCCCACCAGCTTCAGACCATTTGCTCATTGTGCAGCCAACAATAGGCAAATTAACAATATAGATTAATTGGTAGTTAAAACCCAGACTAAAAGCTCGACAAGGAATAGTGTTCGAAAATCCCAATAACCATGAGAATATTTAAAATGAATACGGCATAACTATGTATATGTATTTCAAGAGAAATACAGTTTACAATATATAAAAGCCCATATGAAAAGTTCCACCAGGAATAAGATTCGAGAATTCAAGTAATCATCAGAGTAATTTAAGCTAATATGCAGGGTCAATAGAATTCTATGTGCAGAAATATTAGACTCTTGAAGTGGTCTAAAACATTTGCAGGTTAATTTATGCTAGCAGAGTAATTGCTACAATGGGAACAAAGTCGTAGGAGCTGAAAGAACCTTTTCCACCAGAGTCAACTCAGAAGAAAGATTATGTGCCACAACCCGCATAAGGATATCTTTTGAACTGCAACACAGCAGCACCAAACAACCATAAGCAAACCACAATTACAAGATGCAAAAAAACAAATGAAATGCAGAGCTCGATAAACAAAACTAGTACGTCAGTATCCCCTGTATCTTGTTTCCTATCATAATAATCACAGAATTGACTCGCAAGTCCCGCATCTTTTTAGCAGCAACATGAACAGGATCTGATGGTGATACTGTTGCAACCCTGCAAGCATTAAAAAACTAAAAAACTTAGTGAGGCAAAACCAACCTTCATATCGACCATAGCCTTAGAAAAAGAAAGGCCAGTTGGCAAGTTTGTCAGTACTTGGCATTTTCTGATATAATACTCAACAAAGAGGGCTTGAACATTCGCTCCCTAAGTGTTTCTATGAAAGCAGAAGGAGCTGTAATAGACAAAAAAAAAACCAAACAGATAATTACAATCTACTAGATGTAAATAATAATATCTGAAACTGACAGATATACATATCATAGAAGGCATACACGGCAAACTAAAGAAAATCATTCAGGTGTCTGAAGCATGCAATATCAGGAGAAAAAATATAATGTACAAAAGATAGAGAATTTTGAATTAGCACATAAGTGCATAACAAATGTGGATAATTAGCATATTCAAAAGCATTCCCAGATGTAGTAAACTCCCAGAGGTGGAGTAGACCCAAGGGGAAAAATCCTTTCAGGTATTGTTTTTAGGCATTTCCCAGCAATGTCCACTGTTTCTCTGATCATCGTACTTTGGTTAGGGTCAAACTGATCCAGGTAACAGGCATGTAGCAGTCAGACCATGCATACTGTGATCTCCTTAAAATGAGATCATTATTTCCCCAGAGTCAAATTGCCATTCCCATCCAAAACAGATCATGTCCACTTAAATGAACACGCTAATGCCTTACAATCACAAAGTGGACACGAAGATGGCTGACAGTTGATCTCTCTTAAGTGCTATGGTTAAGAAAGCCTGATCAAAATCCCACGGCATCCTAATAAGAAATGAGTGAACAGAATATTTGAGTTATAAAATATACTCTTCTGTGCATATTCTCATTTGATTTTATTTCCAGAAAGGGTCTGACAAAGGTCTTACGCTAGCTATCAGGCTACCCAGTGCAACAATTGTCCTGTATCCAGGCGAAGGACCAGCTTCATATAAGGCTATGGCCACTCAACACTATAGTCAAGATGGTTTAAAATAAGTAGGACTAGAACATAGAAGAGAGATGAAAGGAAAGGGAAAAGATAGTGAGACCAATGGTGCTCGGGAGAGGATCGATGTTGAACAAAAGTGGGATTGGGCTGATGGTGGAAAGTCAAATAGTCATAAAAACCACAAAGAAAGCCACTGAATTCGTGTTGATTCTACATGCAAGTTGAACGAGAGTCGACTTGAACGATTCTACAGCCAAACCACCTTGGAAAGGATAAAAAACTCCCAAAAACAGGCTTTGATGGCTCCTCAACGAGAGACCTTAACCTTCATAAAGACTGAAACCAATCCGCCAATAAATAACCTAAGGATGACAAAGGAGCTCGCCAAAGAAAATAATCCATTGGAAATAAATCAGAAAATCTTCTGCATTCAATGCTCAAATTCTAAGTTCAAGCCTTGTGCAGCTCATAATCAGATTCTGGAAAATGAGGCATGGAAAAGCAGCAACAATTCTGTCCAGTAACAACAAAAACATCATTTCAGTCCTTCGCCCTTTGCAAACAAACAGTCCGCCAACTGCAGTAACCCCTGCAGTAAATCCATTGGAAAACTTGAACTCCACAGAGTGATTAGAACCAATTGTATCGTCCTATTTTCCATTCAGTTTTCTGGGCATATCACATGTATGTAGAGCATAAACAAAATGATGTTAAAAGCAAGACATAAAATATGTAGTTCAAAAATAATTACATTACATAATGCATAAAATCAACCAACCACAAACAGTACATACAGGTTCGTATGTAAAAGCTATACGAACAGTACAAAAAATAGGAGATATATTTCCACAGCAACCATCCTTTGCTCCCATATCCTACATTGCCAGACAATATAATGTCAACTTACCAGAGAAATTGCTTCCCCACTGGCGTTCCACTCCTTCAACAGCTGCTGCAATGGCACTACCCTGTTCTGCAGCCTTCTCCATTCTCGATATAGCATCATAAAGGCACTTTGTGATATCCAACAAGGCAATAACTTCACCATTCTCAACTACAGGGAGGTGCCGAAATTTTCCTGTGAAAAGAAGGCGAGGGAGAGAAGAAGAAGAAATGATCACTAATGTAATACACAGAGAAAAAATAATAGACACAGATCCATTAACTACCAGTGACTTAGCACTACAATCATCAATCAAAGCCAGATCTTGTTAAAATAAAATGTCCTAGCAGTTCAAATTGATGAAATCAAATACTGTAGAAGCTAGAAGATGATCAATCACAGGATAACGGAGAAAATACCAAGTGCACACGGCATGGATTTTCATACAAAACATATTCTCATAAATATCCCTATACCAAATAAACTTAAGAAACATAAATATTTGAAAATAGCACTTATAAACTAACCAAAAGAAGACTAAGTATTAGGCTACAAAAAATTTAAAAAAAAAAAAAAAGGCCCTAAGCAGACCCCATTACCCCATGAAATTATGTGATTTGCCCTCTTCTCCCTAGCATGCTATCCTCCACTCCCTCCACATTGGAGAAATCTCAGCCTCAAGATTTTCATTAGTGCAATATAATACCCTGCATATTTTGAACTAACAATTTCACTAGTATCATGAACTGAAAGTTGTACTAAACTGGGGGTTACCTCTCAAAGCCATAAAATTAACTGCAAGAAGCACTTCTTTTTCCATTACACCATCAATCTATCTAGACAACTAAAACAACAATTGACATAATATGCAAATCGAATACATCTTTGGATTGGATAAGAACGTTAAAATCCCTCATAGTCCATTGTCCACAGTCCACACTAATTTCCTTAATGCCTACATTAATTTGTCTCGCTCTTTCATAGTTTGCCCGAATTATCACGACAATCTTAGACTTGGTGCCCTCAACATTGGCTTGCTTGGAAAGATACCTCAATAGGCTAAGACATTGAAATTGTATTAGTCTAAAGTTGGCAAACGCAGCAAAATCCAAAGCAGTCTTTCAAAAAACCTAGCAATCAATAAAAACCACCTTGTTCAACTAGACAAGCATCTTCTCACCATCCGTTCGATCACAAAATATATGCTTCTAAATTAAAATGAAAAAAATTATGAAATTCTGATTAGGGAATTGATAATTTCAAAGAAATTAAAAAAAAACAAACGGTGCTTTTTCCTTTTCAATCTGTATTTTTTCCACGCAGGCGGGATTGGATGCAAGGAGTTGGTTAAGTGATTTGTCCAACAGGTCTTTTACAAGAAGAAGATTGTGGTGGCCATGATACTGATGAAGAAGAAGATGATGGTGGTGGTGATGACGATGACGATGACGATGACGATGACGATGACGATGACGATGACGATGACGATGACGATGAAGAAGATGGTGACAGTGAAAATCCCTATATATATATTGTCTAAAATCCCTTAAGTTTCATTCCCATGGATTAGATTATCTCAACACTCTAACCACAATTCTGTTATACTTAAAAGGTAAATAATTATTGATAGTCTTTTACACCTATTACGGTAAAAATTCCAAATTTGGAAAACAGAACAATTGCTTCCAAAAACTAATCTAAACATACCAAAAGTGCACATAAAAGCCTAATAACAACCAAGAGTTGGGTACAACAAAACCATAGGCCGCTACTAATGGCCAAGCCCATGTGTTATAGTCTGCGGAGATAGTACGGCAAAAATAAACAGATAAAACTAAGCCAGCAACATCAAAGTGGGTCCCTAATTCTCGACATGTTCCAAATCATGAGAGAGACTTTCCCCTCTGAAAAAAGTAGCATCTTGTGCTTCTCACAACCAATGTTACCAGGATCGTGTGTTGATTTAGTACACGATACAGATACGAATACATGGTATGAGTCACGGTTCGTTTTAAAACCCTTATCCAGCGATTCACTATTACGTGATAAATGATTATCTACAAATGCACACGTAATTAATTAATATTTATTTGTAATTGCAATAAGAAATCCAAAACAAAATGTAGTTCAATACAACATATTGACTAATAATTGTCAATTAAAAAAGTTAAGGGTTGTATATTCCAATTATGATAAATATTCAAATAACAAATTGTAATATAAAGTTACAATTTGGGATAAGAGTGATATTGGGGGATCAAAAATTCGGGCAATCTAGATTGCGCATCCACCCTGTTTAGGGTTGTGCTACCATAGATCTAGAGCGTTTGAGGTATCTACGATCCAATATCCATGCTCACACCACCATCAGAACCTAATGAAAAACACATGTGATCCTAAAAACTGCTTTTACAGTGATTAAGGTACTGCCAATGGCCAACCAAAATTTAATGTTGGGTGCAACAAATGATGTGAGAGAGTTGAGGAAAAAAATTGCCCCAAAAAAACAGACATTAAGAAATAATTCAACAATCCAAACCCAAACTTTAAATAATAACCAAAATTTCACACTAAAACCTTACTCAACCTTTTCATATATGCAACAGAGACTAGCTAGCAAAGAATACCAGAACCTTTTTTTAATACAAACTGTACAATATGTCAATCATGATTCCAAATCACAATGGCTTCTCACCTAGCAAAGAATAACAAAGCATCTTTTATTTTCCCTTCATTCTAAAAAAAATTCGTAGCTAACTATGCCCTTTTTCATCAAAAGATTTATTTCCTAATTACATAAGCATTCAAGTAAACTTCTTTCTCATGCTTTTCATATTGATTTATAACCTCATCATTCCTAAATACATAAATCCCTGCTACTAAGCGTGGTGAAACTACAATTAAATAAAACACAGGAATATAGAATTCACCCTGAACCATCTTCTGAAGAGCCTCGATTGCCAACGAATCTGAAGTGACGAATATGGGGTTTCTAGTCATAACTTTCGAAACTGTCGTCTGCTCTGGCCTCAACTCCTCTGCTATAACTCTAGTTGCAATATCCTAACCACATTAAAACACACAATCCAAGGATTCATTGACTTCTGACCCAAAAAAAAAAAAGATTGATTGACTGAAAAAGCACAAAAAAAGGTAATAATTCAAACCCAAATTAATTGACAAGAAGGGTCATAGAACCATCACGCAGGTTTTTCCTCATCAATCTCAGGTGTTGAGAATGGAATGGTTACAGACCTACCCTTTGGCATTTTGTTATCCCGACACTTTTCCTTCTGCACCAGCCCCTTGGTCAGTCGGAAAACTAAATACACTCAAAGTTAATACCTTGTCAGTGACAATGCCAGAAAGCAAAGCATTAGCATCAGTCAAAAGAACAGCGTCAACACGCCGGGCTGCCATCCTCCGACAAGCATCGGAGATGGTGGTCCCCTCCGGAATCGTGAGGGCTTTGGATAACCTCAGCTTCTTCACCGTTCTTTCCCCGCCAGCAGACCTTTAAAAAAAAAATTCATTTCATACGCAAGAATTCACAATTCAAATCAAATTGTGACATTACCAAAAATTCAAATAGCGTGAACTTACGATTGACCCGGCGATGAGGACTTTGTAAGGGCTCCGTTGGTTGTAGCGGTGGTTCCATTTTCCGATTGGTTAGACGATTTCTTCAGAGTCGAAGTATTACGTTTCTGAACCAAACTGTTCCGCTTCGAAGCTGGAACCACTTGTCCACTCATTTTTTTTTTTCCTTTCTTTACAAAGATATATGTATATTATGGCTCTTTGCGGAGAAAATGAACAGGGTAAGCAATTTCAAAAACCTAAAATTTAGAGAGAGAGAGAGAGAGGGTTGGGGGTCAGGTTTTGGAAGCCCTAACCCTCTGCTTCTGCTCGTGCTTGTGGAGGTGAAGGAAAGATTTTTGTGTTGGATAACTACCACTAGTCCCCGGTTACGTTATCAGCGATTGAGGTAGATTACAATGAAACCTATTGTTATTTGGGTTAATCTCATTTTACATTCCGAAAGATAGTTTGTATCTTAATTTACACCCTTAAAGAGCAAAAATTTTAATTTACACCCTCAAAGATAGAAATTTATGTAAATATGCACCCCCAAAGTCAAAAATCTCAATTTATACCCTCAAAGATAGAAATTTATATCAATATGTACCCCCAAAGATAAAAAATCTCAATTTACACCCTCAAAGATAGAAATTTATATCAATGTGCACCCCAAAGATAAAAAATCTCAATTTACACTCTCAAATATAGAAATTTGTATCATTATGCACCTAAAACTAAATTGATAAATTATACCTAGATCCTCTCATGTTTATCACTTAATAATTTGGACCTCTTTACATTTAGAATATTACTCCTACATCTCATGACATTTATGCACGTATAACATGTAATTCATTTTCATTGATATCTGTTAATATAACCGTTAAAAAATATAATTTTATCCTAATAAAAAATTATAATTTCATATTACCCTTATTTTATGGGTCCAATATACTCTAAAGTTCAAAATCAAGCTTACCATTTGAATGTCTAATAAAATGTAGATATTTATATAATGTTTTTCATATTTTCCTTTTTATACATATCTACATTCTATTAGACATTCAAATGGTAAACTTGATTTTGAACTTTAGAGTATATCGAATCCACAAAATAAAGGGTAATAGGAAATTATAATTTTTTATTAGAATAAAATCATATTTTTTAACGATTATATTAATAGATATCAACAAAAAGTGATTATGTTTACACATGTACAAACGTCATGAGATGTAGGGGTAATATTCTAAATGTGAAGGGGTTCAAATGATTAAATGACAAATATGAGGGGATCTAGGTATAATTTATCAATTTAGTTTTAGGTGCACATTAATACAGATTTCTATTTTTGAGGGTGTAAATTGAGATTTTTGATCTTTGGGGTGTACATTAATACAAATTTCTATCTTTGAGGGTACAAATTGAGATTTTTGATCTTTGGGGGTGTACATTGATACAATTTTCTATCTTTGAGGGTACAAATTGAAATTTTTAATCTTTGAGGGTATAAATTGAGATTTGAACGATCTTTCGGAGTGTAAAATGAGATTAATCCTTGTTATTTTTTATATTTTCACATGAGAACCTTATAGTTTTCAATATTGTACTGATATCCCTCCTAGAATTTTATCCCATTGGAGTTAAGGGAATGATTGCTTTTATAATTTAGCCTTTTATTGGTTATTCTTGAACCCAAACAGTCCTGCTTTTGAACACCTGTTTTTCCTAAGGATTCGTTTATTTAGCTAGATAATGGTAGAAAATGAAAAGAAGATAATTTTTTTAAAATTTTATGTGTTTGATAGCATCACAAGAAATATTATAGAAAAAATAATTTTTTTTATGCTTGAATTTTCTCGCAAATAATCAATTTTTTTTTCTTATAAAAAACACATGAAAATGCAAGAAAGTTATAATTTATAACTAACTTCCTATTTTATCCTTATTTTTTTAAAATATTTTATTAGTTATTAATTTTAAAAAATTTTGGTATGAATTTGATTAATCATATAATTTGTCCTAAAGACTTTTAAGTTGGTGATTGTACTTAGAATTAGATTTTGAGTCCCTTTTTTAAAAAAATTTTAACTTTCAATTATAATTACATATTTTTTTCCTTTTTAGACAGATTTAATATAATTAAGGGTAGTTTTTCTTATAACTTTCTTTGCTTTCAAATAATGGAATGAAATTTTTTAAAATTTTCCCACAAATTTTTCTTTTTAACCAAATAAATAAAATTATTTTTTTTCTTTCACTTCATTTTCTATCATTTTCATTTTTCATCATTTTTTTCTTCCTAAACAAACAGTCTATTTAGTAAGAAAGAAAAAAATGATGAAAAGTGAAAATGATAGAAAATATATTTTCATGCATATATTTTATCAGACTAAAAAATTTCATTCTATTATTTGAAAGAAAATAAAGTTTTAAGAAATTTTTTATAATTGTATAAATTACCCTTAATTATATTAAATCGGTCTAAAAAAGAAAATAATATATAATTATAATTGAAAGTTAAAAAAATTTTAAAAAGTGGCTCGAAACCTAATTTCAAGACAATTACCAATACAAAAGTCTTTGGACCAAATTATATAATTAATTAAATTCATACCAAAATTTTTTAAGATTAATAACCGATAAAATATTTTATAAGAAAATTAAGGGTAAAATATAAAGTTAGTTATGGATCACAACTTTTTTACATTTCCTTGTGTTTTTTACAAGAAAAAAAATAGTTATTTGTGAGAAAATTCAAGGGAGAAATAAAATTATTTTTTCTATCATTTTCCTTTTTATACTAACCAAATCAATGAAAATTTTAAAAATTTTATCTTTCTTATATTTTTTACCATTCTCCTGTTAAACAAACGAACCTTAATGTAAACAAACACCTTATTATTTTTCATCGTCTTTTTCCTTTTCTCTCTGCAATGAAAATTTCAATTCTAGAATGCTACAACATAAAATAAACAATGATGGTTAGAAAACTTATCGATAAAAACGTGTAGTCACTGTCCTTAGAATAGTTTTTCACCCCTATGAGTACGAAACTCGATGCAACAAGTTATGACGTCCTATCCTCCAGGATTCAACTATCGATTCTCTATAAACATTCACTCGTAAATGTAGAGGTGTCTCGAACAATTCTTAATCGTTCTCAAATCGGTTAACAAGGTAAATAGAATATTGAGATGAGAATGAAAAGAAGTTTTGATGTCAAACATTCAAGAGATTTACAAAAATCCTCTTTTTGAAAATCAATGTATATCCCTCTGGAAACGTTTTATACAAGAATAATGATATATATCACAAATTTGTAACCCAAATTTACTTCATAAATCAAGAAAGACCATTGGATCAAGGGGCCCATTTAAAAAAAATTGATGAGACCCACTGATCCAATGATCTTTCTTGATTTGAGATACAAATTTAAATTATAAATTTAAGATACATAGCACTACTTTTTATACAACCCATTGTGTCCTTAAATAGTAGTAGTCATCTAAATGACACAACGGTAAACACTTTTGTATAAAGCGTTTCAATCAATTCACCGTAGAAGTCTTTTACCCATTGTACACAATATAGAATGTTGCACCTTGGCATCTCAACTAACGGTATATTAGTTTATTACATATATGAAGAGTGGCTCATCACGTTGATTCCTAGATTGAAGACTTGAACATTCAAAACATTTAAAATTTGAAGTCTTTTGACATCTTGTATCGGTTTGACATTGTCAACCGACACATTAACGGTTAAGAAGTTTTGCTTTGAAACTAAAGTTCATAATTGTGCGTGCAAGATCCTGCACAATATAAAAAATGAGAACAGATCTCTCCCCTGGTGAACTTCGAGTGAGTCAGTTGAGTGACCAACCACGCTGCCTGAAACAGCCTGCGAGGTCCGGTGGTAGCCTGGAACGGCAACGGGAGACCCTGGGGGAGCTGGAGAAGGATCTGGTAAGGCTGAAAGAGGATCCTGGAACAAAGAAGAACAAGTTAGAAGGGCACCGGAGTGTTTTTCGGCGTATCCCCTCCGACGATCTAGTCAGTCTTTGAGTGAGAGAGAGAGAGGATAGAGAAAACACTGAGTGTGTATTGTAGTAGAGAGTTTGTTGTTGCCTACCTGCTTTGCCTTTTGCAAGGAGTATTTATACCTTAAAAGCTCATGATTGCTGTCAGTGTCGTCAGTAGGTGATCATTAGGCACAGGTAGCGTGTGCATTGATTTTGATGAGGAATGTCTTCTCTAATTAACTGCTCGGGGTCCCGAGCAATCAATGCTGGATCATCGGGATGCCGACGGTATAATGTGCTCCTCTCGGGGAGGATGCAATAAATGCTCTGTAATAGGAGCATTTATTGTCTTTCATTTTCGAGCCTTACCGCATTGAATGCGGTCTTATCAAGGGAATGGTGCAATTAATTGTTTGCTTTCCCAAGTCACGTGTCAGCACCGGCATGCGGTATGTCTATCTTTGATGTGATATCATATGCCACGCGTCCATCCCCTATTGGCTGTGACCTCTGTATTCCAGTACGTTCTGACATTACTTGTGTAAGACGAGGTCATGATAAATAGCCTAGGCTAATGACCTGTACGTCAGTAGCTTATCCTGGAGTAGAGGAAGCGTCCAGGATGGGGTACCTCTCGGCACCGAGGAAAGGCTCATCTCGGGGGACCGAGGGAGGTATGTCGACCGAGGTACATATCAGACCGAGGCCACGTGTCAGTTGTGAAATATACTGAATGTATGATCATATATGCCAGTACCTCGGGGGCGAGGACATTCGTGCGCCAATGGTGCTTGATCTTAACAAGTGTTTTAGTAAAACCGAGGACACGTGTCTTCATCATAGGGTATTTCAGAAAAGTCCCATCAACTGCCCCCCAGCCTTCAATCTTCTGACACCGAGGACACGCGTCGTAAGGAGACGAAGGGTTTCCCAACAACCACCAGTACTTCATCATTGTCTCGAGCCGCTTTCCCCGGCTTGGGATGCCGTGCGCATTAAATGCGCCGTTTCGTTTTTTGCGCCCAATGATAAAAATTGACTCCTCCATAGGAAGTGTTCACTTATATGGCAGGGGGGAGACGACTCTCTTCCGATGTGGGATTGCCTTAGGAAAGAGTCCTATTGGCGAATAGAGGTAAAGGCTACTGGGGG